TATATATATATATATATATACATATATTCGCAATTTTAGGTGCTTCTGCACTCGCACGGAGGCGACATTCCTCGATTGCGTGGAGCTAATACGACTCGAGGGAGCGATCGTTTCGTCTTTCGAACACGTGTGTTCTTATCAGTGGTCATTTTTTTTTCTCAGGACACGATAACAGTACTCGCAAAGCGTAATTTCCGTTCATGGCTTTTCGAGGAAACTTCGTTTTGCGAAATTACTTGATTCGTAATCACGCTCTTTGTCAAATGGAAATTGCATCTCTTACATAGACAAGCCGTTTTACAGGATTTAACGTTTTAAATATTCCCCTATCTTTAAATTTTATGCAACGATAAATAATAACAGTAAAAGTTTTATATTCTAAAATAAGGATTACGAGTATAAACTATAAGAAACGATGTAAGTATAAACTATAAGGAACGATAGTTAAAGTTCCGCGAACTTTTTAAATGCCTTCTCTCCTTTCATCGTTCTGCCAAAGGTATAAAATAATATAAGCAGACGCGTTAACAATAGGACGCGAATGAGTTGAAATTAAATAGTTACATAATAACATCGAAAACATCGTTTTTAAGGTACAAAAAAGGAAGGCCGAGGAGCACGGTTTAATGGCGGTGAGCCGGCGTGAAAGGGGGCGCGCATTTCTATGTTTTTGTAGAAACCACAAGTGAATTCGCGGCAACGATCCGGCGCACCTGCGTTTCGTTTCGCATGATATCACAGCCATGCGATAAATTTTCATTGCCACGCGTGTAGGAATAAACTTTTATTGACCATTGAACGGTTTGAATTTAAACGCGCCGCGTATACGCGCGCATAACCGCGCGTAACGACTGCACACGTATACGCAACTATATCCCCGGGTTTAAAGGACTATGAATGTCTAGCACTATCGTTTAAGAAAATATGTCGTTTATGTTTCGAACGATTACACGAGTGGTCTCCGCGGGAAAAAATTTCAGGCAAATTGAATGTGTGTAATAATGTAGAGATGGAACGCTTGAATCCTTGAGATCCGTCGAAAAAATCCGTTTCTCCAAAAAACATTTTCCTATTTTTTTCCGACTCGAAACTTTGAGGTTAGGCGAAGAATAATTTATATAAAGGTATAAAAATTGTGAAAATTTTACGATTATGATAAAAGTTGATTAGATTGGATTAATAAATCCAATCGTTTTTTGATCATCGTTTTCTTTCAGAAATATTTATCTCGAGGAATGCTTTGAAACAACGATATCGCATGGTGTCCATCGAAACGATGTCAAGAATATCCTGCGGTAATCGTAAGTCACTTTATTCAAATGAATCGAAACTAGTATTTATTGAACTAGTGTTATATAAGATGCGCTTAAAAAAAAAACATATGTGTCAAATCATTTGAATTTTTAACGCGAGAAGGTGTGACCATCGTTAATGCGACAATAATTATGACGCGCAAAGTTGAATCCGTGAATCAACAGTGCTAATGCGCAAGCACTTATCAAAGCGAAGTTAAACATTGGGAATATAACTATGTAAGTTACGTTATTTTGATAATAATTTTTAATTCAATTCTTTTTAACGCGCGTATGAATAAAATAAATAAGCTATTTAGTAAGAATTGTGTTTCTTATCTGTATCGTATAATAATTATTGAATGATATCGGATCAATTTTGTTTAATTTTTGAAGAGAAGAAGAAGAGACTTTACACAAAGAAATCGTTTTGAAACGATTCAATATTTATATTTCCAAGAAACGATTGACGAGGACTTCCAGAGGCCTTGATCGCAATCAAGAAAGATGCGTGTATGCATTTTTCTTTCAATCATCAATGATAGGAATTCGCCTCAGGATTCGCATACGCACTGTGTTACAATGACATTCCTTGAAGATTCGAACGATAATTTCCGTGCAATGACGGAAGAACAGGTTCTTTCGTTCTTTCTCTTAGTTATTTTAAAATTATATATTGCTTTGTTAAAATAGACTGTATAGGATGAAAGCAATAGAATATAAAAAATATACGTAAGATGTACTTGCGACGAATAAAAATTCTATTAAGATTTTTAATCAAATAAGTTGGATAACGATGCAATAAAGTTAATCAGAAATCGACAATCCAGTCTTTCGAGCGTATGAATTTGTAGAGTAGCTATAGACAAGGAGAGCGAGTAATACGAGAAGGATGGAAATAGGATAAAAATTGTGGAATTAGCGCCATCTCCAGAGTGCCGCAAACGAAACACGAGGGAAAGATAAGAAATAACAATTAACGCCATCTCTTGAATATCAGAGGTATTTTTTCGTAAGTACGATAAGATAAAATAAGAATTAAGAAATGGCGCCATCTCTTGAATACGAGAGATATCTTTTCAGAAGGAGATAAAATAGAATAAGATAGAATGAAGAATTGGCGCCATCTTTGATTATTTTTCGAATAGTGTCTTTTATATTCGAAAGATGGTACTGAATGTTAATTCTTATTTCTATCTCTATCCTTCTCCTAATATTTACCCTTCTTGTCTTCTTGTGTTTCATTCGCGGCATTCTGAAGATGGTGCTGATTCCACAATTTTTATCCTATTTCCATCCTTCTTCCACCATTTGCTTTCCTTTTCTATACAGTTACTCTATAAATTCATGCGCTTAAAAGATGGTGTCGATTTCTGATTAACTTTATCGCATCGTTCTACAACTTATCGATTAAAAATCTTCTCTTCCTTTTCTTCCTTTTCTTTTCTTAAAAAAGAAAGATCGACATTATTAATATATCTCTTATAATATATACTTTTCTTTAAGAAAAAAGAAGATTTCCTATAAGGTAATTCGCGTGAAATGAAGAGATTCACAAAGGTTAAAATAAAAGTAAAAAACATTTGTAAGAAACGGTGAGCATATACAAATGCGGAGAAATATATGATTCATAAAATCCGAGAGGTGGTTTGTATTGACATATGAGGGCCCTAAACGATACGCTCGTCTTTGGTCGATTTGTAGATAGAACGAGATATATTATTTTAGTTTCAGGTTTACACAAAAGGCCCTTCGTGCTGTTTATTTAACTTGATGTTCTTTATCCTTCTTTCCTTACCACGTCCTTCCTCTGTTTCCATTCCGGAAGCCGCATTAATTTTTTTTCTTTCGAATAATACTTTGAAGTTTCCGCGAAATTAATATTTTTCGGATTAAATAAAATTATTATATCAAAAAACCTGTATATCTGTAACGATTATCAAATTGTTATACATATTTATTAATTAATAAAATCAAGACAATTCTATATTTAATTTTTCTTCGCGTTGCATAAATTGGACCGTGGAATTAATAATTCCAAAAGATATATAAAATAATATTTGCAGTTTATAACTGTATAGAAATATTTTATTGGACTAGTATTTACGCTTTGGTTACAATAATGGGATCTAAATCTAAAGATATTATAATAATAATTGTCCTTAAAATGAATAGATCAATAAATAGTAAAACGATAAGGCACTCTGAAATAAATATAAATTTTCATTTTCACGATTCATATATAATATAGCGCTGTTGCAAGTGAGGAAATTTTTTTTTTTTGCTCGCGAACAGAATGCTCTTTTCTCGTTCCTTTCTCGATGATAAAAAAGGCTTTATTCAGAAATACGAAAGCTGCGACTCGTGATTGTGGCGTAGCGGCATGCCTTGATGATGTCCAGAGTGATGGAAATTCTGGATCTCGTGTGCTCCCTGCTGACCACGATACTGATTAGGACTCGACGAGGTTGACGATGATACGTTGCAACTGTTGTTCATCAACATGGAAGCGTTACCACTTTGAAAAGTAAACGGCCATGACTACGACAAACATGTGAGAAAGTATTTTTTTTTTTTATAAAAGTTCCATTTTCTTTAATTAGTAATTTTTCCAGAAGAATTATCGAAGTAGCTGTTAATTCAAAGAATTTTTCCCCCCTTTTGAGGGGGGTTTTGAGATACTTTTTCAGATAATTTCGAATATATTGTAATTTTTATTCTTAACAATTCTATGATCAAGAATAGAATAGAAATAGGCAAAATACAATTTCGATTCGTTTGCAATGCAAAACGGATATAAACGATCGTTCTTCAAATAATGGTACTAATTTAGAATTAATGGTGGAAAAGGATGTGGAGGAAGCTTTGAAAGTGATTCGATCCACCTGGACAGACGTAAACAGAGAACGTCTCTAAGAAAATGACGTTATGACGCCGACTGGATCCACCTGGATTCTTTGTTATTTTACGGCTCTTTAATCGTGACGCGAAAGATTTTGCAATTATGACAAAAAAAAAAAAAAAGAAACGAATAAAAAATACCAACGTTCCACTTATTTTCCGCTTCGTGTTTAATACCGAAAATTTCGAAATTTCTTAATAATAATAATAATAATAATAATAATAATAATCAATTTTCATAAACAATGTTGCGATATACGACCCATTTTTAAAAAAAAGAATTACAAAACCGCATCATGTGAAATAGCCGCATCATTTAAAAAAAATTAAAAATCAACATGAAATAAGAAGAAATTTGATCTGAGAATAAAATAAAACAACGTGTCATTAACGAGATCGTTACGTTGGATGAAAAATTTGGACAAATCGAGTCGTTTCAATTGGTCGGACAATTTCGGAATTTCTCAAAAAAAAAAGAAAACAAAACAAAAGCGTGTGAAATAACCGCATCATTTTAAAAAAATCAACGTGAAGAAATTTGATCTAAAAATAAAATAAAACAACGCGTCATTAACGAGGTCGTTACAAGGTTGGATGAGAAACGATTTGAACAAATCGAGTCGAGTTTTGAACAAGTCGTGGAAATAAAAAGCTTACCAGCGCCAAAGACAAAGATCTGGTCTCGGAATGGGCATCCGTGTCGTCTCTGAGAACCGCTCGAAGATGGGCGATGTAGGTGGCCGCCAGGCGGAGGGTGTCCAGCTTGCTGAGTTTCGTGTCGGCTGGTACCCAAGGTAAGGTCGTTTTCAATCTGCAAAACGCCTTGCTCAGCACTCTCATTCGAGCCCGTTCCCTCGCGTTCGCCGCGTTCCTCGGTGCACGACTCTCCAAATCATCCTTGCTGTACTTCTCCTCAGAGGCGAATTCCTCCTCGTCGGCTTCCAGCGAAGGCGTCGAGGCCCGTCGCTTGCGTGGCATCCTCTGCAATTATTAATTAATCCCACCATTTTATCCCGATTGTCGTCCGCTCAGCTGACAAACAAGTCGTTCGATCGAGAATTATTTTCGAGCCGTTGTGAACGAAGATCGTTGATTCGACCATCTTTCATGGAGGAAGGAAACAAAGATGTAATCGATGCAATCTTTATGCGATGCGATATTATCATTGATTGATTGGAGGATGATCTTCCTCCTCGAGTAGGTGAAAGTTCGAAACACCTCACCTTTTTTTTTTTTTTTTGCGACGTTGATTTGATTCTTTCCCTCGGCTCGAAAGTATTAATGGAATGTCACGATGGATCGCGACGCTCGCGCGAAACTAATCGTACGTGAAAAGTTTCGGCCAAGAAGAGGAGGACGCCGAGAGGAGAGGTACGAAAGAGGAAAGAAAACGAGGATTGGCAGAGAAGAGGGAGATTTGGGACGGGTCTGAAAATCGGGCGGAGCTTTCTCAACACGAAAAGTGTCTTCCTTCGGCTTGGCCACGTCCTCCTTCCTCGCTTTTCCTGGGGGTTTTCGTCCAATCGTTTGGTAAGTGCGTCATCTGCAGCCACCTGGTCCATCCTTTCCTCTTCTGTCCTCTTCCCGAATAGCCTTTCTTTTCTTCTTTTCTCTCTTCGTGTGGAATTGACTTTTGCTCTGAATTTTTTCTTCCGGATATCCGGATGTCGTTGTTTTTTTTTTTTTTTTGTTAATCAGTTACGATCTTCCTCGGTATTTTAATCAAATGTTGTGCGTGTGGATCGAAAGTTGGATGCGATTAATTTTAGAAATGAAAGAATTATTCGCTAATAAGAAGAATATTGATTCGAATTATGATCCAATTTGTTCTTTTCTTATTAAACGCAAATTCAGTTCGCACAAACAACAGTTCGTGAGCATTATATGTTATATTCATATAAAAATTAATTTGTTTGATTACTCGTGAATCATCTCTGAGAAATTCTATATAAATTCGCAGTTAAAAGTTTTGGAACTGGAGAAAATTATAAATGAATTATTTCATAAACTATTAAAAGATATTTGTCTAAAGTTCTATTCCATCTATTTTCCTATTGTCTAATATTACTACTTTTTCTCATTCAGAGATTTCTATTAAAAGGAAAAAAAAAAAAAAAGTCGATCCATTAATCGTATTTAAATCCTTGTAAACGGGCTGTCAACCATTTCGTTGAAAGGAGGATTCGAAATGGATCCTGTAATATGAGGTGTGCGGTGAACCCTGCTGATCCTACTTAACATCCTGAAGCAGGAGTTGACTTATTGCTCGACAAATTCGTTCCTTCGCAATTCGATACATTTCTATGTAATTGGTCATGTTTCTTTCTCAAGATATATATATATACATGTATTTGTAAGTATGTGCATCCGTGTAGAATTAGAATTTAAAAAAAAAAAAAGCATAAAAATTGAAGTAAGATCGAATTTCATTGAAAAATTAGAATTTTGCATCGTTTCTTTACTCTTTACTATATTCTTTATTACTTGAAAACTATAAACTAAACTAGATTTTAAGAAATAAATATTTATTGAATAAATATATTTATTAATTTTTTTTATACAAGAAAAGATCTTTAGGCATAACAAAAAAATATTAGATGGAAAATCACGAATTACTAATGGTTTTCGCCTCAGTATTCTATACTTATGGGGATATTTGTATATAGATGTCGACGCTGTAATCATCCTAATTAAATTTTATTATATATTATATACAGAATATTATACAGAATTTGTAAAAGATACGTAAAAGATCCAAGAATGTTATTTTCTTATTATTTAATTACAATTTTTTTTATAATATACATAACATATTATATGTACATTGTTGCAAATTTGAACGTAATATCGTGGTTTATGATTTTACCGTAAGAAGGCGCTCGTTGAGCAAGTTAAAAATGGCTGGTGATATACGAATGCATTTGCGAATCGCGAGTCGATTCGTGTTCTTCGGTCGTTACATTTTGTGATTTTCTCACGTGTAGTGGTATTTCTTTGCGTGTTTGTAAAATATTAATAATATTAGTTCAAATTTTTTCATGTATAAGAATTAATTGGAAGAGAACAAAGGAAACAAAATATTCGGAATATTTTAACGAAAGTTCCCGAAGGTGATTCATTGTCTAACTGAATTTTTAGCTTAGAAAGGTCGTGTTTTGGAGAAAATACGTAAGTATCAAAATAGTAATAATCAATAACTAAGTTATTTGATACTGATTTTTTATGTAATTATGTATGCTTTAAAGAGGTTAGGTTGTATATTTGTATACGAAACGTGATAAAGTTCAATATTACGAAATCAATAATTGTTTATATGTTATCTAAATTATTCTTTTTTAATGAATGTTACGTAAATAGTTGTAAAAACTTCTAAATTAAGTATTCGTTTAAAATTTTACACGAAATAATGTAAAACGGGAAAGTTTTCTTTGTTAATAATATAATGGAGAAAAAAAACAAAGAACGTTATGTTAATTAATTTAGATCGAGTTTTAGTAAGAATATAATATTATGATTTTACAGTTATATTACAAATAAAATTTTAATTAAATATGACTGAAGAACACCAATTGCCCTCTGATTCTGATGAAGATGATGAAGATTATGTTCCCGATGGTGCAGACAGTGAGCCAGTATCTGAAGTAGAATCTGAAGGTGATGCAGAGAGTGGTCCTGAAGATGAGAATGATGAAAACCAAAGAGAAACGACAAAGAAAAGAGGAAGAAAGAAAAACAAAGTTATAAAATCTAAAATTAGAAAGCGTAGAAGAACAAGAAAAAAGATAACAGAGGATAAGGATGATCAAAAAGAGGAAAAACAACAAAAAGAAGAATCTGTTGAGAAAAAAGAGCTTACAGAAGAAGAGGAGAAAAAAAGGGCTGACTCTCTTTGGGCTGATTTTATGAAAGACACAGGTAATTGATTTCAATTATCTATTTAATGATTAATTAATTATAATTAATTAATTATAATTAACATATATTGTATATTTTTTGTATTTTTTAAAGCAATGACACCTAAACCTAAGCAACAAAATATAACAAATAAATCTAAAGAGAGATCTCCATCTATAGAAAAGCCAAAAGTGGAAGAAAAAGTAAAAATAACTAAAGTATTTGAATTTGCTGGTGAAGAAGTAAAAGTAGAAAAAGAAGTCTCAATAGATTCGGCAGAAGCAAGAATATCTCTATCCTCTGCTGAGAATTCTGAGAAAACAGGAAATTCTGGATCTCCTGTGGGTAGAGGATCTGGAAGAGGTAGAGGTTTCAAGCGGGCTGGTTTAGGGGGTATTTCTTCTGTCCTTGGTCAATTAGGGAAGAAGGCAAAAATTAGTACGTTAGAAAAGTCCAAACTAGATTGGGATAATTATAAGAAACAAGAGAATTTGGAGGAAGAAATTAGTACTCATAACAAAGGCAAGGATGGATATTTAGAACGTCAAGATTTCTTGCAAAGAGCAGATTTGCGACAATTTGAAATTGAAAAGCAATTACGTAATGCAAACAGACGTAGTACACGGTGAATTTATAATTTTATGTATATATATATATCTTCCCTAACAATGAGAACCAGAAATGGTATTGAGAAAAATATCTTATTAGAATTGCCAATTATTGGCGCTTGTAGTACATATTTACTCGAATTGTTTAAACTCTTACTGAATATCTCATGCCATGTATAAAAATGTGATTGCTTGGCTTGACAATCGGCTGGATCTGGTTAAGAAACGATTGAGAGCCAATTTTGTGAGAAGAGACTGATCATTCCAATGTATCGAAGATAATATAGTACGTTATGTAATAGTTTAATGTATCATCTGCGAGCGTTGTCTCGATCCATTATATCACAGAACTTCGCATCGAAGCAGGATGTTTGAAGCTTGGTGCTTCGGAGACCGACGATATATATTCTAACAATAAACAAGCTCCAGAGGTGTTTTTATTCCATTTCAGTGGAAGAAAGGATGATTGATGAGACAGTATAGATTAGTGTAGGTATTTAATAAAATGTCGTTTGAATGATAAATGAATATATACATACATAGTATGTATTCGAGTATGTATGCCTTAGAAATAATCATGACATTTTTCTTCATTTACGATCACTGCCTTGGGCGAGTCACGAGAAACATTTTATTATATTTATAGACGAGATAAACGAGATAGAAAAACTAGATTATTGTTACAGAATTACAAATGAGAGATTACAGTAATTGTTTTATATTTTTTCAGCTATATCTATTTATCATATTTATTCACAAAATTACGACATGGCATATCTGCGAAAAATAACATGTCAATATGATTCAATTGATAATTCATTTGAAAAAAAATCAATTTTTAAAGCTCAGGTTTACAATTTCTAGGATATTTATAAAAAATAATATCTTACGGATGTGTATGAAATTTCTTATGTCTATGGACTATTTAACATCGTAAAAATAAAGATATACGTTAAATATTTAAACCATTTTATATTCATGGCTTAATAGCATCGATTTATATATATATATATATATATATGTATGTATGTATGTATGTATGTATGTATGTATGTATGTATGTATGTATATATATATGTAATTGAAAACATCAAACATATATTATTTACTGTTTGTTGTTTATGTTGCGTCCTTCGCTTGACGATGTACTTTTCTTCCCCCCTTTTTTTTTTTAGCATAAAGGAATCTTTAAGTTTACTATACATCCTGTAAGAAATGATTGACATTGGACGCTTATTTAATATTTCATACAAGTCGATTTATAATTTCACTATTACGTAATTATACAAGCCAATATAAATTCAAAATATCTCTTAGTCCCGTTGTATACGAGTGGATTTCGTGCTATATAATAACCAACACAAAGAAACCCCATTCGCTTATACATCGAGCCTTTGAGCAGCTATATTGATTTTGTAAGCAAATACAGATGAAATATTTATCAGAAGTACCGTTTTCATCGTTACCTTTATTAGCAAAATTTCACTTTCCTTTTCTCCTGAAATGAAAGAATATGAGTTTAATTTTTTTCCAGTATAATATTACATATTATTATCGCGTTTGTTCTCTCTCATTTAATTTCACAAATATTTACCATAATTTGATTTCGAGTTCGAAAAGAATTTCCACAACATCGGTGTTCAACATATTCACGTTTTCTTTTTTTACTAAAATAAAAATAAAGTTGTTAGCGATACTTTGTCAATAATCGTGTTGTGTATATTACTTTTTCATACCGAGTTTTAAGTTTTTGTAGTTTATTACGTAACTTGGAGAATCCTTTGACAAATATATTTTTCTTTGGACTAAATTTCAAGTATGAAAACGTTATTTCATGTATTATATAAAAATATTTATTACATTAATGATTCTAACCTTTGTTCACGGTATTTTGTGCATAATGTTCCTTTAAATGGCATTTCTTTATTAGAATAGCAATAATCTATCGAATTATCATTTTTCTTTTTTTCTTTTTTATCTAAAATAGAAATTCAATTTTATCAGATCGTATTATCGCTATATTCTCGTGAATTAATTTCTTTCTTGATTTCGATATAACGATTATGATTTTTATAAAAAAATAATGAATAATTTTATACGATACATAATTGTTTCGTTTACTTTTTCCCTTATGCAGCAACAGTCATTGTATTTTGAAAGAAATGTGCACGTTGACGAACATTTGCACAATTTTTTTAAGTCTTCTGAACTGGATTTTTTAACGCATATACAAGAAATTGGTTGATCTTTAATCTTCATGCATCGTGAATTTGGAGTTACTTTATCAATTATTTTTTTTGCCTTACTTTCTTTGGGAATTTTTCTTTTCGGACATTGGCACATTATTTTTGGTTTCGCGATCGAGTTGCAGGTATTAATTCTGTAGTTCAAAGATTAAGACATTAGATACAAATTGTGTCTAAAACAAAAAATTTAAGAAAATGAGAATAGAAATAAGAATCTTGGAGGATTGACAAAACTATTCCTTTTTCTTTAAAGTATACAGATAGATGTAATAAATATATTATAATTTATTTATCATCCTCTCACCGACATATCGACAATGATGTAGTACTTTCTCTTGGTAATTTCGGAGTTTGGCATTTTTTGCTAAAAGTCAAATGAAAATTTTTAAACAATTTTTAAATTATATATCGTTCTCTTCATTCCTTCAAATATGAAAAATAATAGGAATTTTTAAAAGGATTGCTAAATTGTTAAAAAATTTTTCTACGTACTTTAAATTATTCGGTTTTTTTTCAATTTCTTCTGCTTTTTTAATTCTTTCTTCTTTTTCTTGTTATTAATTAACGTAGTTGTCGAAGTACTCGCATTATAATTCCTTGAACGATAACATTTTTGTATAAAATTTACATTACGCGTAAAAAAAAAAATATACATATATATATAAATAATTTTTAATAATACTTTATACAAGGATGGTTTGCCGGACATTTTGGATCCTTACATATCTTTTTCATTTTTCGTTACTCTCTTTCAAATTTTAACCTGATAAATATTCAAAGATGAAATATATATACACACATAATACGAATCTTACTACTGTTAGATGGAATAAAATTTATATTATTAATTATCATCGAAGAATGATGTCTTGCTTGCTAGATTAAGATTTAAACGATCACTTACTTGTGTAGATTTTTCATTAACCTCCTGATTTCGCGGAGGACGTAAACCTCAACATTTCTTTCTCTTTTTATTATAACGTACATGTTCTAAACAGTATTTGCTCATTTTAGTAACGAATACCAATCGGTGCAAAATATATCTTCGTCGTAATTTATCATTTTTTCAATAATTTAAAAACGCGAGTTCCATGTAAATGACCTAACCTTGATTTTACGCATCGCTTTGTGACAAAGTGATCTTGTCGAGAATATCTTTTTTCCGAACGCTTCGAGTTCAATTATCGCGAAAACTATCGATCCAATAATATCTCGTTCGCAACGTTGCGATCTGTCAACATACGTTTATCTTGACGTTTCGACATTAGCTGAACGGTCGATTAAGTATCTGATCCCTCGTATCGAATATCTAATTCTATTATAATAACGACATAATGAACGATCGCTGTACAATCATCGTACAATTGATTTTTGATTCCGTTTGTCATTATCTTCGCGATAACTAATTGCATCGCGTGTAAAATCAAACGCATGACATTTATCAAACTTACGATATTTATTCGCCCCGCGAATTTATCCAACATTTTCTCTCATGATGATTATTTTACAGGAAGGAAAATTTATATTTCTCTTACAACAGAAAATCAATGTTCGTTTTCAAACCGATACCGAATTAGGATTTAAAGAGAGAAGAAAATCCAAAATAACCCATAATCTCCACGAATAATTCAAACACTGCAACGAGAATGTCGCACATCGAGAAATTCAAATTCGTGGTTCTTACAAATCGAAAAAGAAGAAGAAAAAGAAGAAGAGACGAGAAAAATCTCGAACCTTTGTAAGTTTCTCATCATCTATTAATTAAAAACATCTTATTAAAATCCACTTTTCGTATCACGATGAAAATCAAGGCGGGCAAATACACGTCGAATCAATTAAACCAGCGGATCGAGTGGAGTAATCGCGTGCGAATGCCGTGAGTCGCAAATTTTTCAAGCGCTTCAGGCCACGTCGCTTTTTCTTATTTTCCATTTTTCCTTCTTTCTGTGATCGCGATCTCGAAGGTGTCGCGAGCGTCGTAAAACTGAATTACCGATTGGACGGTGTTGGGATCAGCGAGGAGAGGTGGGCGGGCGAAAGAGGAAGCCACACGAAGCGGAGGTTAGAACGTCGGATCGTTGGATCGTGTGTGCAAAAGCGGGAATATCGACGCCAGACTGGCGGCCATTAGTCGTGGCCTTGCCATCGGCAGTTTATTCACGAGCCGGGATATCTGTTCGACCGTTCGTTCCTTGGCCAACCTTCATTCTTTTCAACGCACCTCTCCTCCTTCGGCGGAGAGAGACAGAGAGAGAGAATGCACTTGTTACTTTCCCGATTGCAGAAGAGCGCACGTGCATACACGTGGTAAGATTAAGTTTGATCGAGACGTTGAAAGCGTCTCTTTGTCCGGATCGGGCGGAGTTAGTTCTTGAATTTGACGAGCGAGCGGAAATTGGAAATTCAAGTGGAAGGTAATTTGACTTGAAAACGACTCGGAAACTTTCGTCTCGATTCGGTCAAATGTTGTCGTTCGAGTCACTTGATTCGACTCGGTATTAGAATGATATTGGAAATGATGATGCGTGTTGGAATGATAAATCTAATATCTGTACTAATTGTAATAAACTAATTATCTTGCAAACAAGGACTTATCTTGGTCCAGTTCTATCCACAAAATGAAGAATAAAATGAAATATATACAATTGAAGAGATCGAATTATTCTATCCTTCAAAGCCACCATAATTATATTTATCTCGATGATTATAATTTTCTAAAAAAAAAAAAAAATAAGCGGATAATAAGAAATTTATAACTCACCTCAGAACAGAATTTTTTTAGCCTTCCATCGAAGGACGTCGAAATTCATGTATCGATTTTATAAATAAAAATCTTGTAATACTTAATCATTATTATATATAGTTAAGCAAAATCAGAATAATCGGTTGTTCACAGAATGTAACGGATAATTACTTGTGGAGAGATCGATCAAAGTATCGTGCAAAGTGTTAATAATTAAGAGCTTTGAACCGAGCTTTCAACACGAAAACCATTATTTTTAAGCGAAACGAGCCTTTCAACACGAGTTCCGTAATGGACACGCGTGAAAAGATATTCTTTGTGCTCTTTATTGGACAAAACTGTGATTGTGCGTTTTATATAAGGCGTCGTGGAAAATCGCCTTTTCGCGTTTCTTGCGACAACTAGGAACGAAACTTTGAACCTCCTTCGTCGTTTTGCGGATAATTACGACGAAAGGGAGGGAGTTTTTGCAATTGACGCGCAATGGTCACGAAGAAGAAGAAAAAAAAGCCTCTCCCACACCGCGTTTTATCGAATATAACATAAAAACAAAGGGACCGTGATAATAAAAAGCGCTGCGAACCCTCAAAGTAAATTATGCACGGTTGGTCGTACGTTGGATGATCTAAAAGCAAATTTGCGGGTGGAGGTGTTATTTTGTACAAAAAGGAACGTTTGTTACGTTCAACAAAGGAATTATAATAAACGTATGTGAGGCATAGAAGGAAACGAACGATGACTTCGTTGGGGTTGTTTAATTCTGTTCCAGAATCGGAAAACTCTTCTGTTTTTCTCGAGAGAAGAAGGTGAATCGATAGATAGATTATCGAACGAATTGTAAACAGTTGTGGATTTAATTATAATATCTAATGGGTACGCATAAAAAGGTAGAGATAATGGGTAATAAGGAATTACAACTAGAAGATAAATATATAATTTATCGAGAAAATAAAATTTTTAATCTTTTTTTTCAAACTGAATTAATATTCTAGCAATGAGACTTCTATTGAGGTAAACTATGCTATAATCGTTATATAATGATATTATATAATCTGTAAGTCTTTATTTTGTAAAACGATATTTAATTTTTCTAATTTTTATATTTTTTTTCTTTTGATTTTGTTTTACATACCAATTGTTAATTAGAGGTACGTGCCTCTTCTTGGTCGTGAGACGAACAACAACGTGACAAACGGAAGATAATTAATACTGTATTTTTGTTCGGGTATGCCTTCTTTAGGGATAAGGGTAATTTCGGCGCACCTGAAGGAATCTCAAAGGCAAAAACAAGAAGATCTATTTTCATCGCCGTCCCTCTTTCGTGATCAAGAATCCACTCCGGTTTCGTAGACTTTTTTCGACCAAACTGGGGATGAAATTCAGTGACGTAACGTACTTAAAATCAATCCACGTACACCGTATATATATTTTTTCTTTAATTTTATTTCCAAAAATAAGTAATATCGGTTTCAAAAGGTCCAGTTCCAGTGAAGAATCGTTTTTTTTTTTTTTTTTTTTTACGTAGCGTTTGGGAACAAAAAATCAAATCGTTTGTTAGAAATTAAAAGATTAGACAACTTTTACGAAAAGAAACATTTAGCACGGATGTGAACAGACACGTTTCCTTACAACGAACTTCCTAGGATGCTGTTAGCCGAGCAAGTGTAGCTTTTGAATACGCCACTGATAAAATTCCAGGAATTCCTTTTGCCAGAAGCAGACTAGACGAGACTGGCAATAAGATTGATTCGCACTACCAAGATTCCAACGTCTGGTTTTATATACCTTGCGTGCCAGCCAAACAGTCCGGAATTAAAGTTTATTTTCCACTCTTTCCCGCAGAAACTTCTTATTAACAACGAGTGTTCCAGTTTTCCTTCGTGTTTTCAGAATTCAAGAAAGTTCCACGAAATATATACTTTTATATTGCAGATTTTTTTTTTTTTTTTCTTCTCGTAAAAATTTGAATATCGCTCTTTGAGAGTAATCAGAGTGGTTTAGAATTGAAGCAAAGAAGAGGCAGGCGCATTCCGTGGGGGTCTAAGGTAAAAAAGAAGACGTCCACTCGAAAACGCAAAGACGTCCACTCGTGCCTAAAAGCACTTGGATCGGTATGTGGATCAATTATATCGAAGAAGAAACGTGGCACGAATTAATGCGCGCCAAGATATAACGCGTAAGAAAGGAAAGTCACGAGCTCGAAGTGGAACCATTCGACTCCTTTTTGCCGTGTCCTTTCGTACTTAATTCCGACCCATGGCGCAAAGTATGCATCGTCGTTGCCATGCTCCTTTTAATGGCTCGCCCAGATGAAATAATTTCATCGCCGAACGACTGTTGACATCGTTCCATTAAACGAATATTTCCTCTCCTTAGAAAAATATATACTCGGTTCAACGGACCGAAAATAAAACATACATGTATATCCTCGCAAAATTTTAACAATCGCATTATAATTACACCGCGAGAAATTATGAAAAAAACTTGAAAAGACACATGGCCGATCGATTGAGTGCAGTTACGGGCAAAATTTAAGTTGCGAATAATTAAAAGTTGCTTCGATGTTGCTTAATAACTGCAGAGCCAAACAACAAAGCCGAGGAATGGATCAACTGTAATAGCTACGAATAAACAAAACTTGAAAATTTACATTACATCGATTGAGATGGGCAAAATTTAATAGTTGAGGTTAACATTATTATAAAATAATTAAAAGTTGCTTCGATAATAATTGCAGCATCAAACAACGAAGCCGAGGTTATGTGAATTTACATTACATTACATCAATTTACATTACGTCATCACATCGATTGAGATGGGTAAAATTTAATAGTCGAGGTTAACATTATTATAAAATAATTAAAAGTTGCTTCGATAATAATTGCAGCATCGAACAACAAAGTCGAGGTTATGCATAGGAACGAATCAACTACAATAGCTAACGAATAATCGAGTAATTACTTCACTTTACTCGAAATTTTTAACTTTTTCGACGCCGATCAAGCGAATATTCTCGTCACGATGGAGCCCGAATTACCAGTCTCCCATCTCCCATCTTTCTTCCCGTCTTAACGTCCCTCCGTTACACTCTCCGTGTAAACTAGCGCCCTTCGGTTAAACGTTCCTAGGTGGCCACGGAAGAGAAGCTAGTGGACGGGAAGAGAGATGGACTATTCTCCGTCTGTTTTCTCTCTCAGAGCTCGGATCTCGCTCCTTTCACGTTCGCTCCTCGTCCAACTCATTGGAGCCGGGCATGTTTTATGGATAGGCTTCTAGAGGTTTCGCGGCGCCAGCTCTTCCTCTTAGGATACATCGGCTGCCGCTGTTACCGATCCGAGCCAACAACGTGAACGTAAACGAGACATTGGAATTATCGCAATCCCGTGGAATTCGAGAGACATATACCGGAAGTGGCTTGGCTCGACGACGCGGATAATACCGTTCTCTATTGCGGATAAAATGTAGATCGAAGAAAGTCGGTGGTAGTAGAAAGTGGTTCAGTATCGATCCGAGCAGATTTTTTGTAATTAATTTATCTTTCGCGTTGCGTAAAGGTTGAGAAAAAAAAAGGAAGATCGATTGTTGTTAGATTGAAATATCGGGGAAATTGGAATGTATGGAAAAGTGGAAAGTTTGTAGACTTTGATTGATCGCAGTGGGATTGCAGGATAAAGTTCAGTGATTCTTTTTTTTTTATTTTGTTCTCAATTCTTCGAAATTAATGCTATAGTTTCTTTGGATTTTTATTCACGATAAAATTTTAAAAGTTTCTTTTAATTATTTTAATTTCAGAGTATGATACGTAAGTAAGATATTTACAAATTTCTACAGTGCGAGAGCGAACGGAGTTATCTTGAGTTAAAAGAACCATTAATGACAGAGAGGAATGTTGATTTCAATGGAGTTACAATTGAATGGTCCGAGTGAGAAATTGGATGGACCGTTTTCGGTAACAGGTATCCTCGTTTCCGATACGTTACACCACGGCGAAGGACTCATTTTGAAACATCGATCCATAAAATTCGTCGAATAAGAATTATACGTATGACTCATACACCTCGTGATGTAACCTTCCTTCTTATCGCACTTTAAACAGGTGTGGCTGGATTTAAAAAAGATTCATGGATTTTCCATTCGGTAGCATAAAAAAAAGAATGTGTAAAGAAGAGATATATCTAATTTCAAATCTTTTCCGAAATAACGAATTTAAGCCTGAGATACATTAGACATCTTGAAAAACATGATAAAAAAGCTTGTTGACAATAATCATATAAGAAAATTTACAATGAAGCTCGAAACTTTAATTTAATTTAGAAATCGGATACGTCATTATGACGAATTGAAAGCAACAATTTGTAAACCGGCTAACTTCGAGGAGTCCAGTTGACGTAACCGATATTTTTAACCGAGCCCTTTTGTTTCACCGATGGTCCTGTTTTAATCTCGTCCTTCCACTTTGCTTCGTTCGTCGCTTTCACAACCGACGACCCCTCATAATGTCAGCCAGAGTGTTTGATCTTTCAACGAGGTTTCCGCGAATTTCAAAGGTTCGTCTCGTGGAAGCGGCGTTTAAATTCCATGTATGGGCGAAGCGGCGGCCGGAGAAAGGAATTTGAGTCGTCTGCAAGGCGACTCTTTAGATACGACTATTATGCGTCCTGCGAAGCAACCATTACAGAGTGAATACAAACGAGCCTCTGATGAAGGACCAGACTCCTCCTTCAGAAATGAAGTCGTATTTTCGTAGGATAAACTGCTCCCGTACGCGTGCTATACGATCGGATGGAGATCCGTGCGTTCGAGTATGTTTTAATTCGCAAACCTCGGATAGATTTCACGGTGAGACGCGGTGCAGAAACGTGTTGCATTTGTGCGATAATGTAATAACGACGTGACACAGTTTCCTCGTCCTTAACCCGCGTGGAATGTTAGAAAATAACGGTGTGTGAT